GCACAAGTTGCGGGGCCCTCAATAATTGGTTAATAATTGTATAGACTTCGGGATCGATCGTTTTAGCAAATTTCACGGCCTTGCCCAAAATAATGATACGCTAGTCGCTTTAGGCGCGCCTTTAACAATTTAGTTTCTTAAACTCGGGTGCACATTGATGTGACCCAAATCCAAATCTCAACGGAGTCGAAGTGTGTCGACGACCACGGGTACATTGATTGTGACGTGGTTCGAGATACATTTTCACAACGTTGCAATTCTCTGTAAAATGATAATAATAATAAAAGCGGTAAAGAGTTAAAATTTGCACATAAGTTCGTATTTGTATAAAATCAGATAATTAAGCCGAATATAACAGTGGAGCGACTATGCTAGAACCACAGAACTTGGGAATGCCTAACACCTTCTCCCGGGTTAACAGAATTCCTTATCCGGATTTCTGGTTCGCAGACTGTTAAACAGAGTCATTCTTTTTCTCGATTCGGGATTAAACCGGTGACTTGGGACACCATAAATCTCCCAAGTGGCGACTCTGAAATAAATAAAATAAATCCCGTTTCGGTTGTCCTTTAATTGGAAAAACTCTCTTCCGTGCCCCTCTGCGGTTGGCGCGGGCGAAAAAGGAGGTGTGACAACACCTTATCTCAGGTTAACATAATTTCTTACCCGGATTTCTGGTTCGTGGACTGTGATACAGAGTCATTCTTTCCTCGATTCGGGATTTGAACCGGTGGCTTGGGACACCATAAATTATCTCAAATGACGACTCTGAATCTTTAAATAAATAATCACGTTTCGATTGTCACTTTAAGTTGGAAAAACTCCCTTATTTACTCACCTTTCGGGGGTGTAGGTAAAAAGGAAGTGTGACACTTATCATACCATATATTAGACGCGAGCAGTAGATATTGTTGCTTTCCTTTGGATAAGGTAAATTGATGAGTATCCTCAAATTATGCATTGAATGATTTTCTTTCCTTGTCTGATTGAATAGTGTAAGATTCTTAATTACAACTCATTCCTTAATTCTTTCCTTGTATCTCATATCTTTTCCCAAAATATAATAGATGTGCATCTCATATTTTGAGTATTCAACTGTCTGTGTTTTCTAATATTCATAGAGAATTTTGGTTCTTTGGAAGTCTTCATTCTTCAATACACAACGTTTGATCTTGGACCTATTCGTTTGTACTTGACGAACCCATATATAATTAAAGACGTGAGTTTGTCACTTTCCATAGCAATCTATCCTTTCACGATTCATGCAATGTAAACATGTATTACATAATTTTCCTTCCTTCTGAGAATTTGAGAATAGGTGCAACTGTATCTTCCTTGATCCTTTTTCTTTTTATAACTTTGGACATTCTTCCAATATGCCTTCCAACAGTGCATAGTGCATAATCACGTTCCTTTGCTTAAAGATTCTTCCACAAAATATTCCTTATTTTCTTCCAATAAGTCATTGTAAATGTTCTTCCATTTTATATGAGAAATATTCCTTTCTTGATCTTGGAAAATAATTTCTTTCCATAATATAGATTTTACTACACCATAATATATTTTCTTTCCATAAAAAATATATTCTTCCTTGGCCTTGTAATATCTTTCTTCCACAAAATAATAGATCTTCTCCATAATTTTAGTAATTTTCCTTTCAAGATATTGGAAAACTTTCCTTCCATAATTTTCGTAGATTCTTCTTCCGATATTGTAGCAAGCCATCCAATAATTGAAACTTGACTTCCTTCTATGACGTTTGGAGATTAAAACTGTGAAAATAATCTTCCTTGATAAATTCTTCACATGATATTCTCTTTCCCATATTTGTCTGGATCTTTACCAGCATCTTCTTTCATGAATAAATTTGTGCAACAATAAGATTACCACAAATAAGTGTTCTTTGATTAATAATTATATTGGTTTGTTATCATCAAAATTAATACGTGAAACCTTGAAGCTAACATATAAGAGAGTAATTTCGAATCATAGTTAAAATCACACAAGTAACTTTAGATCATTTTCTAAAGCATTTTGACACGTTAAATTCACCGAATTCACATTGGAACTTTGTTAAGCTCAAAAAAATAAATACGGCTAAATACATAGTCAAGCCCCTTAAACTTACTCCAATATTTATTGACACATTTAAGTTAAAAGCATATACCTATTGAACACTCCAAATTGGTACTAGACGTGCCTATTGAACACCAGGGGCAGATAGCCGTTAACGGGTTCAATTGAACCCATAACGTATTAACGGGTTCAATTGAATCTATAATTCGATGCGAAGTAAAAATTTATTAAAATTAAAAAAAATACTAAATATAAATTCATAACTTTAAAAATATAATGTGTTCAATATTAAAAACTTATGAGTTACGGACGAACACAATGAAAGAAAGTATTTCTCGGCCCTCTCTAAGCGCGTGAACATGTCAAAAATCACATTTTTCCTTTTTGTTTTCTTTAAAAAAGAACATTGTTCCTAAACCACCACATCTTTCTCTATCATCTTCCTCCTAATTTGTTACACCTTACTCTACTAACTGACTTTGTCGTAAGCTTTACTTTACTTTACTTTAAGGTTTATTTTGACAGTTATCGGTTGGCGGAGAAAACTGAGGTGGGTGTTGGGGTTGCGACGGCGTCACTCCCAGGGTGCGGCAGGGAGTCGGGGCACCGAAAACTGAAGGGTGATGTGGTGGTCCGACTACTTTATGGGCTCAATTGAATTTGATAACCGGAAAATCTGCCACCGACGTGATGACCTAGAAAATTGCAGCGTCCTTCCTCTCTTGATAATCTTTGAACATGTCAAAATACATATGTCGAAACTATTTGTTTACTGCATATATTGAATTGTTCTGATTTTAAAGCAGCTAGTGGAATTGAAGTGGTAGACTTTGGATGCTGTCAATTCCTTATAATTTGTGTTAATTCTAAGTATGATTGGTAGTGTGCTGTCTTTCTTCATTTCCAGCTTAAATTTCACAATGAAGGTTGTGATTTTCATATGGCGATTGTTGGTCCAGTGGTGTTATGGTGGTAGGGAAGCAGGAAGCGGAGGCAGAGGTGGCACATTTGGTATAAAGTTGGAGTGTTCAATAGGTACAAGTGAAGCCAAGTTTAAGGGGTTGTCTATGTATTTGGCCAATAAATACATATACTACTTTTTGGAGGAGGGATGAATGAATCTGGAAAACAGCGGATACTTCCTCTGAGCTGCACCAATTCAACCTTCTCCTCAACTGGTAAAATTTTTTTTTTTTCCTGGTTTGCTCCCTTTTCCTTTGTATTTTCACTCCCATTAATCTCTTTCTTGTAAGTCTCACTCATTTGGTCATAGAAATTCAATGAGGATCTCAGTGACTTGGTCAAATTTGAATGACTAAAATATATCATATATAAAAATTCATTTAGGGTCTCTATAATTTGGAAAGTCAAAAGTCTCTTCACTTATGTGGTCAGGATCCATGCATGAACTTGTCAATTAATTGGCTGATAAAATAATGAAGGGACAGCGGAGACCATCTTAATTTTGGTAGTTGTTTCTGTCAAAATGACTTGGTCAAATTTGAAGTAACTACATGTGGATTAGTAAGATGACAGATTGAAACTATTAGTTTCCAGTTAACAAAATTTTCATCCACAACAGCTGCTGTTATCACAGTATTTGCAATGAGAAAAGGAGATATGTCTTCAGACATACCTAATCCCCTTGAAACGCTGCAGCTGATTGAACAGAAGTACAGTTCTATTACTTATAATCCTGCAACTCTGAAACAGATTGCAGAGGAATGTCATTCATTCTGTATGGTTTTAGGCGGATATCATTTTTCAGAGGGATCTTGTTCCCTTGACACACTGCAGAGGATTGAAGAGGACTGGGGCTCATTCCTTGAGTTCTCAGACAAGTATCTGTCAAAGTTATCTCATCTACGTGAAACTCTGAAGCAGACTGAAGATGAATGCAGCTCATTCCATATATTTCTTTCAGAGGAATCTGATTCCCTTGATACTCTGTGGCAAACTATACCTCGTCTCAAATGCAATCTTTGGCGAACTGAAGAGGAATGCCATTCTTTACTTATATTTTCAGAGAAGTATCTGTCTTCAAATGAATCTATCCCCATTGAAACTCTGCAGAGGATCAAAGATGAATGTGATTCACTCGAAGTAGATCTGTTTGCATTTGATGAATTTAAGCGCCTTGAAAGGAAATTCAAGCTCCTTAAAAGGGATTTCAAGTTGTTGGATATCATTCTCAACTTGCAGATCGTCATAGGTGAACCAGATCTCATAAGAAAAGTCCAAGCTCTGTTTCAAGGTGCTGCAGATGATCTCATCCAGATCTACAGAAGAGAAGGGATCTACCAATCGTATCACGCTGTCTCCGGCTTGCAAAAAGAGTTTTGGCAGACTAAGTTGGAAATCAGAAAAGCTAAATACTCCTTTTCCGAAGTATCATTTCTACTTTTAGATGACAACGATGCTACTGTTATTCCCAATTTTGTTTTGGAATTCGTTGATACTGTGATAGAGAATCTCAGTGATCTACTGAAACTTTATGATCCAAGTTCACCCCTTCATGTTGAGGGACTCATGGATCAAGTTGAAAAGGTTTTGAAGGAGTTGAAGTTCCTTTTTAGTTTTGTCATCTTTGTTACAGATAGATGCGTAGCGCCTGAGGTCCAGCATACTTTCTTCATTCATGTTTTAGAAGTGGCCTGGCACACAGCAGTGGTTACCTGGTTGTATCTTCCAAGCCACGCAGACGGATGCCCAGCTGAAGAATATACTTTGTTTTCTAATCTCCTCCGAAGCATGGAACAGATATATCGAGACTCTGCTGCAGATGAGGGTTATCCTTTGTTTTCTGATCTACTGCGAAGCAAAATTCAGCCTATTGAGCCAAGCATCTCCAAGATCTATATCGATGTCCTGAAAGCTATAAAGTTACAGCAGTCACAATGGTATCCCGTTATCCAAATTAAGTATGTGGTAGATTGTGAAGTTGGATTTGTGGAGACTCTCCTACACAATTTGGAAGAGTTGCCATTCATTTTAAGTGGCATAGAAATAAAGGAGATGCTCAACTTCTTGAGAGCACATCTACTAACACAGGCCCTTGAATTTCATTTTCAAGATATAGACTCTGTGATTGTTGATGCAGGAATTCTTGTTTACTCATTAAACAAAAAGGAGAATGGTGATCTTGATTTCCGAGTCCAAATTCAGAATCTGCAAGCAATGATCTATCTCATCACAAGAAAGACATTTCTCCTTCAGTCCAACTTGTCTGGAATTGACAGAGTGGGCTCTGCTTATTTCATTTTAGACAACATGGAGAAGTTTCTAAGCCTCTATACAAATTCAGTTGTTTCTGTCAAGAGCCAACTTCATACAATTCAGAAAGAAGTCAAGTACTTTCANATCTCAAAATTAACATGGTTGTGGATAGCCGAGGGTTTGATTAACACGGACATGGAGAAGCTTTCTGAGGATATAGCAAAATTTTACTTGGAGAATCTTGTTGGGAGAAATCTAGTGATGGTTGCTAAAAAGAGCTCTGATGGAAGCATCAAAACATGTCGCATTCATGACCTGGTGCTTGAATTTTGCATGAAGAAAGCGAAGTTGGAGAACTTTTTAGAAACGATAAGGTAATAAAAACATTAATTAATTTTACCTTTTCAATCTATAAAGCTCCTTCTAATTATACCTATTTCTCCATTAACAGGGACAGAGGTTCACATCCTTCTCAATTTTTTCTTCCAATGTGCAATACTTCACGCCGCTTATACCTTTATTCTCAAAGTGAAAATCTTCCAAAATGGTGTTTGTTTTTCTCCCATGTGAAATCTTTTCAGTTCAGAGAGGCTAGAAATATTGCATTCTCTTCGATAGACTGTGTTTCAAACACTTTTAAAAGGTTCAAGTTTCTAAGGGTGTTAGATTTTGAATTCACCATGATTGATTCTATCCCACAAGAATTAACCCTTTTGAAGTATCTTGCTTTTCGGACTGCAGAAGATGCATTATCACTCCCTGACAATCTTCGTAACCTTGAAACATTGATAGTTCAAGGACTTAGAGGACGGATATCATTATCAGATACCATTTGGAAGATGGTTAAGTTGCGGCATCTTCATATCTATGATCGAGCATTCTTCACTTTGAATAGTGGACAAGAATTCTCAAATAGCCCCTCGACAATGGTTAATTTGCAAACTGTTTCCTCAGCATGTTTTCCTTGTGTGGACAATGCCGATAAGATCTTGGAGAAGACGCCAAATCTTCGGAAACTGAGATGTGAAGTTTCCAAATTTGATGGCTCGTTTACTGCATTTAGCAATCTTACAAAGCTTGAAACGCTCAAGATCTCTTCCGGTACTAAATTGACCTTGATCGATCATTTGAAGTTCCCATCAAGCTTGAAGAAGTTGATACTGTCCAATTTTCACATACATCTCACTGAAGTTGCAACTCTTCCAAAACTTGAGGTACTCAAGCTATTAGGAGTTACCATTAGCTCCAATGTATGGGAAGTGAATGATGAAAAATTCCCTCAACTCAAATTCTTGAAACTAGAAAATCCTTCTTTTTCAGAATGGAATGCTTCAGATGATGCCTTTCCATGCCTTGAACACTTGGTATTGAAAAAATGTCGATATCTTAAGGAGATCCCTTCTCGTTTTGGGGATGCCTCCTCCCTGAAATCAGTTGAGATAATATCGTGCAATGAAGAACTTGTCAAGTCAGCCGAGGCCGTCAGGGAAGAATTAGAGGGAATGTCGGGAACTTCTGGTTTCGAGCTCTTCATCTCCAAGCAGCAAAAAAACAGGTATGTTGTTGATCCAATGCAACTGAAGTTAAACGTGTATATTTGTACACTAGCTTATTGAGTGTTCGCTTTGACACCCTGTTACACGAACTTACGTTTTACTTTGAAATGGTAGAACCGTAGAACTATCAATCAAATTATGATGGTGGTTTCAGCTCTACCAGTCAAAGGTGGAATAAATCTAAGAGTCCTTTTGCCAAATCTAAAACTAGGAAGCCCACATAGCTATTAACTATTCTCTGCTCAGGGCAGATCACATATAATCTGATAATTTTATATGACGATATCCCAAATTAATCAGCTTTATATATTCAATTCATGACAGTAGTACTGATGGTTGGAAGCTGAAATTATAATGGTCGTCTCTATAGTCCAGTCTTTCAAGAATAATGAATGTTTGTTATTATAGATAAAGAATAAGCAACTTCATTTCAACTCGAATTGAAATAGTATCAGTTTGTGCTATGAAATTATGTTTTTTTGAATGATCATATTTTCGTTTAAACCATAACTTACGAGATCGCGCCCTACTAATTTATTTATTTCCTTTACAGATTTGAAGGAGTTTTATAAGCTGGTCATGCAATTGGTGAAACCGAGAAGCTTACATAAGATGTATTAAAACCAATCCGCGTCCTCTGGAATAAGGGTTCAAACAGGACTGGATAACAGGAAACAATGCAAATATATCTCCGCTGCAAACATGTCATGTGATTGAGGCATCGCGAATCTATCTGCACGGTTTTCTTGTTATATTTGCTGGGAAGCTCATACACAAACTTTTAATCTTCCTACTGGATCATCTTCCAAAACATCACCAGCACTTCCTGAAATTCTTTCAGTGTATTCAGGTCGGGCTTCAATTCTCAAAATGAAAGCAAGATAAATAAACCCAAGAAAGGTCCTGTTCCAATTTCTCATCTTCTACTATATGGAACGAAATTACCTTCACTAGGTAGGGGTAAGTTCTGAGTATGCACTACCCCAGACCCCCAGTATGAGAATATACCGGGTATGTTGTTACTATATGGAACAAAATTATAGCCTATAGCAGAAGCAATCTGAAAAAAGATTGAGACGAAAAGAAGAAAAGATTAGTAACTTTGAAAGAATGTTGAGGAGTCGATATATATTTGGAATGTGAATAGATGCATGACTTGTTAGATTAATTCTTGTTGTATTTCTGTTTTGACAAGTATTATGGATTGCTAGTAGGGCCCTAGAACAGTACAAAGAAGCAGAGTAAAAATCATGGGAGTTTAGCCCAACGTGAATATTGTCACACCATGTTAAAATTATCTTTAGACTAATTTAGCCCAGCAATTACAAATAAACAAACTCTATAAAGTCTATCCATTGTCAGATTTGAAAAATGTTTGGACAAACAAATAGATTACCAGATTAAATTTGCTTTAGTTCTACGTCTGATCTCCGTTTAAACAATAGGAGATGCTACACAAATGTGGATTTAATAGATTAAAGTAAGATAAATGTCTCGAATAACTGAAGACAGCCCATTTGGCCATTGGTCAACTCCTCTTCTGCTTCCTTGTTCCTTGAAACAAACGAAAGCAGAAAGAGAAACTGTCAACAACTTGGTTCTAAATAGGAAAATTCAAAACTAACATTAGAAGAACAAATGACACAGTTTTTTTTTTTTTCCTGGGGTATAACCACATGCACTACTCCCTGGCCAAACTAATATGGATTCCCACCGTACATTTAGGGACCATTAAAGGGGAGTGCTCTCTACCAAAAGTTTCTCCATTTCTAATGCTCAAATAGAACATCTAGTTAGGAGTGGAGGATCTCATCTATCCATCGCATCCCTTGTTGGTCGCAGATAACACTTTTCAATTAGTTCACATTTGAAAACAACCTAACAAAACATATGTTTTGATGTGATATGACCAGATACAATTGTAGCTTAAAGTCAACTTGTTCTTGACGTATATAATCATCATACTTGTAATATATACTATATTATAAGTTATATACTATATTATAAGTGTGAAGACTTTTAGATAATGTTATTTTATTAAAATATCCTTCAAAACTTGAATGACCAAATTACCC